TATTAATCACTTGTCTAGTACAGTAATATCATATAATATCATCTGTGAATATTGAATAAAGATACTAAAATCTCTCAAACCCTTTGTCTCAGTTCTACAAGCTCTTCTAAAATTGGAGTGTTCTCTTGTATGCATCTGCAACAATAATACAGTATCTCAGGGTGAATGAAGCTGTTAGCTCAGTCTAAACATCAATTACCCAAAGTAATTTTTGATAGTTCTAAAATAAATTTAATGATCAAGCCCCACATGGTCATGGTGTCATAATGTCACTTAAGTTGATTTAACCCTTTTAGCATCAAGGATCTGATTTTAAATTCTCCCTTCTAGCTAATATACATTTCTATGTAAATTTGAAAAAGAATTTGGTATTAGATCAAGATAAACTTTTACTTGATAAGTTTGAGTATTCTTGGTACCTGTCTGCTGGTTAATGAAAGGATATTATAGGGAATTAGGGGGCTAAATGACATTTAAAACGTATGAGATAGATGTATCTCCATATTTGCAAAGTCTCTACAGTTAAATCCTGCACATACCTCCTGTTAAATGCATATTCTATTTTCTGCCTAGTGCGTGGATTGGATGCCTTCCTCATGATTGGAAAATAATGGGGGTACTTTAGAGTGACTTTGTGCAGGCCAGCATCTGTCTAAAAAATAAGATTTAAGTTAGTAAATCAAAAGATATCTATATTAGTGATAGCAGGGGTATCATTAAAAACTGGTCACTGGTGATCTGTTAGGGCTTGTGAAGCCTCTTGTGATCACAGCCACCTAAATTCCTTTGTTGGTCGCAATATGAGCACCACCTTGCTGATCAGTCTATACACCTGTGTAATCAAACTTTTCCACAAAGCCATCCTTCAGTTGTCAGGAAGTAGGGGGTGCCTGAACTTTTTATATAGGAGTGATGGTTAAGAATATTTGCAGTTTTTAAGTAAAGTATTTTACAATGCTACTATTCTTTGTTTTTACACTGAACCCAACATTTGGTTTCCATGGCAACTGCATTGATGAGAATTTGCACTACTGCACAAAAACACAAAGCTACTTTTAATAATATCAACGTCTAAGTTACTGAGATACCTTTTCTAAGCTGTTTATAAAATCATCTGGCAAACCAACTGGAAAAAGGAATAAAAAAGTCAGTATGGCCAAAAATAACTGGAAAACATGTGTCATGATTAAATCATAATCAAGGCTGACAAAAATAGGAAAAAATAATATTGGTTGAATCAAAATCACTGATAGGACAAAAGCTGAAAAACTGACGTGGCAAAGCAAAACCTGTTTTCAGGTTATTCTGACCAAAGCTTGTTTTAGTTCATCACTTCTGGGAGATAAAAAGTTTGCCAGGAAATGCACAAATAAATATAAAATGAATTGTTTAATTATACATTGAGTGCATACCTAACTCTGCTTTTGTAAATTCCAGTATTGTGTTTTCTTCATTCAGGTTCTTGTTAAAGTCAATGCATAGACCACTCATCTTTGTCTTAATAGATTTGATTTCTGTTTGAACTTCGGCTGGTAAATGAAGACCTGTAGGAAAATACACAAAACATTGATATCACAAATAGCAAATCAAATAATGGCACATTATATTTAGTATTACTTCAGAAGAAATAGTAGGAACAAAAGTGGTCAAGCCATCATGTTACGTTTCACAAATTGTCTTGATTTTTATTCTTGCTTTTTTTTTTCAACTTTGATGCTGTGATATTTGTTCTCAGCCTGTAGAAACATCTTGAGGGAGGTTTTGATTTTACTGTATTTCTCAACCCAAGTTATCACAAACATGGTCTGTACATTGTGCCTTTCATCGTCAATTCAAATTAAGGGTTTCATTTAACTCTTTAACTCTCAGAGGTGATTATCATGGAACTTCTCCCTATAATACCCATACATTATCCTGCAAACAGGTATTGAGAAAATTTCAACTAATCAGGGAGAAGTTGTTAAAGCTGAGTGGGTCACTGAAACATCCTCTGGTTTACTCTGTCCTACAGCCAAGACATTGAAACAAATGCTGCAAAACTGTTCATCATTCCTCTGCTTAATTGAAAAACACTATCGCAAATCTCAAAATATTTTAAACAGGAACAGCTCGAAGTGAGTTAAACAGCTGTACTATTAGCGAGGGCAACAATATCATCATGATACATATAGCAAGATGACATGTTACAACATACCATCTCTTTTTCCAAGTTTTATTAACCTTTCCAAAACACGCCCAGCTTCAGGAGACAATGGCTCCTTATGTCTTTCCTGTGTAAAACAAATAATCACCAGATGTTCACAATCAGCACTGTGAGTAAAAAGTAAGCATGAAGATGTACAAGATGCAGAAGCCAACATTGATAAAACCTGTTTTCATGTAATTGTTGCAATTTTTACAATTGCTTCAAAATTAGGAAATTTTAGTTGCTATGAGTGTTTTGTAGTTCAACCCTGCCGACAATTGGTATCATCAGATGTCAACATTGTGTCTTATCTAGAATCATCAAATTCATCAATTTTTAATTACCTGTAAAGTTACAAGATTGTCAAAGACATCCTTCCGCATGCTGTGAAGAATGAAAAAAAGAAAAAAAAATGCACAAGGATTAAATTCAAATGGACCACATGTTTGGATCATTTTTTTTTCCATTCATAAATAAACTCATTTCTGAGATACATACACCTATAACAACTTTGTTTAAGAAAAATCTCCTACAAAATTTGTAGCCAAAAAGAACTTGTCATGAGAATTAAAAAGCAAGTCTACACTTTACACTTTTGTTCTACTTTTAATATTGAATTTAGCAAATTTCAGGTGAAATTAATTTACACAATTCTTATTGTAGAAGCAAGAGCCTGAAATACCTGACTTCCACTTCAAATTCAGAAAGTTTTCTGTCAGCCTCAGTACTGGCCGCTCTGATCTCTTTATCTGTATGTATTTGATAAAAAAAGTGAAATCAATTTATTGAAAACCAAACATTTAGAACCCTGCTGCTGTAAATACTAGTATGGGAGGATTTATTTAAATTAAAGACTTTATTTAATATATAGCATTATTTCTATTGCTATCCAATAGTGCTTTACAATGACCGAAATATTGGCATAAAGTGCTTGAAAATCCCAACTGGCAGGATGCAGAACAGTTGGTTATTTACACATCACAGCTGAGGAATTGAACTGGGGGCAACTGAGAACAAATCCAGTGAATAGCAGGGTGGAGGACTTGAACCCAGGATCATCAGATTACAAGTCTAGTTTATATCATTCATTAGCGTCTTCTGAATTTATGATTCAGAGCCACCTTAACTTCTTATGAAATGTTTTGATACCATTGCTTTTGAAACAAATGAAAATGTTTGAAAGCAGCAATCAATCAAAGAATTTGGTATCTACAAATAAAAACACCATGTCGAACCACCTCAGGAAAGAGGTATTGGACTTAAACATTCTGATCAGGGTTCCAGTTACCTGTGGAAACATGCTGGGGAAAGTCCAAGTTTGATTTTGCTGTATGATATTCAGCATTGCCATCAGACAAGGCCTAGGGAAATATAGAAGCACAAAAATATATCATTCAGGGCTAGACACAATTTTTTTCCTATTTTGCTGTTGAATAAAAAGAATACACCCCATATCACCTTTACCATCTAAAAATCAATTCCTAACATTGAATTAAAAGGGGTATTAAGTTTCTAAAGAAACTGTAGTGCTGCATTGGTGGAGGAGTTAATTTTGGTTTTATCAACTGAATTGATAACTATTTACAGTGGCCAATTTACATTACCAACTCAGTTGATACAACCACAATAATTATTATCTTCTTAAAGTAATTCTTCACATTGTCTACCATACCACCATGAAAAATTTTTTCTCCAACAATTTTTTATCATCAAATCAAGCAATATCCCCTGGTTGATAATTATGTTTCTTCTCACCACCTTTCCATGCAAAAATGTATCAGTATTGTTGGGAGAAATTCATTGTTGGTCATCAACCCTGGGAGTGAAAGGGTCAGCTATGCAGCTTGTTCTAAATGAGATAATATATTTTTACTTTTAATTCCTTATGCAAATTTATTTAAGCTAGATCCTTCACGCATCAGTGATCTGTTAATGCTTCAAGTAATGGAATGCCTCAGGGCTAAGGGGGGAGATTACAGTGCCTGATTGTAATTATGCACCCTTACGAAAGAAAATGCACGTGGAGGTAAAACATAACCCCTTGACCAATTTTTTAATTTATAACGATTTCGTGATTGAAACTCGTTCCGTAAATTTTAGATGCACGCACTCCACGTGCAGTTATACCTATTTGGCATGTAATTTAAGCGATGTTCACACTTTCTTGCGAAATCCTAAAAATATTACAAATAACTAGTGAATTTAAAGCCATCTGGATTAGTCAAAAATAGAAAACCTTTGCATGTAATCGCATTTTTAAGCAATTAGGTCGACTTTTTTAATACGTGTAATTTCATTTTTTTTTAATTTGAAATAATATTTTTTGGAGTTAGGACTTAGAAATTCGATATTTCCGTCTTTAACCAAGTCTAGTCTAGTTAGTGAGATTTATTTTTCCACAGTCTGATCGGAGCACTGAAGCGTTGTGGTAAACATTAGTGTAGCAGCAGAAAAATCAAGTCAATAATTTTTACAGGGCACGTGGTAAATATTATCCGTCAAAACTTTCCTTTATTGTGAAATTCTAACAAAAGGTTCACTTGATCGTGTACATCTTAACGGAAAGAACACCACTGACGATCGCGGACAACACACGTGAAACACTCGTGCAGGAATCGTCAAGAGGGCCGGATCAGGAAGAAACGATCAAAAAGTTCACTTGCCTTCAAACAGTTTTCATATGTCACATCGTCCGGGTTTAACGCACCAACAGCATCGTAAACCTTCTTCGATTTCTCGATCAGCTCATCAGTTCGTTTCAGGATCTCTTCTGAGGATAAATTCCACTGGAGATTCACTCCTTTAACAGTGATCGCCATAATTTTTATGGTCTCCAAGGTAGACCACAATGCCTCGGTTTCTTGTTGGACGCCGAAGGAAAGCGGTGGACCACGTGATTCCGTACCCAAACATGGCGGCGAAAGAGCGTAGAGATCAAACTATTAACGCGAAATTATGTATCGGAAATTATTTGCTTGGAACAACTTTAGGTGTTGGAACGTTTGGGAAAGTGAAATGTAAGTGCTGATAACGGTTTTTTCAGTATTTTGTGGCTTTTAAGGTGAAATGGAGGCAGTTCGTGCCGCCATCCACGTTTACAATCATTTGCATTCACCGATTGTCACACGCGGAGGATTTTACAACCGTTGACACGATTTCATAAATGCGTCAAAAACCGCACCATTTGCAGCTAGCCTTGAAGACGGTTATTGAATCATAACTAAGCCAGTTATGAAGAACAGGAAAGTAAAAAATAAAAAATGAAATCGAAGGCTACCCCAGATCTTTTGAACATTTTCCTCTTGTTGATATTGTTTACGATTTGTGTATAAGTAATTTGTATTGGACTGATTTCCAAATCTCTGAATTTAATCATGAGAATTCTTCCCCAATTCTTGTAAACATACCTGTCCAAAATTTCACATGTTTATTAGATTAAGATTTGTTATGCTTCCAAATAACATTGAAATATTTTAGGGCAATTTGTGTACCGAGAAGATCCAAAGTTTATGGACTTTGCCCGGGCAATCCACTCATCTGGCTACGACTAAATTCGGAAGTTGTTTTTGTAGACGAATTAATGACTCAGCTAATTCACACTTAATTTTGATATCGCTTATAATCTCTTTAATCCCCATTTGTTGGTTCTGATCAATTCAAAGAGATGTACATGAATGAAACAATAAATTATATTTACGATTAGAATTGGAGATGGTAAATTTTGATCTTTGTAGGGGAATGAATATAGATGCTTTAGAAAAATCTTGAGTTTCTGTGAGGAATAGCTTTTATGTTTTGATTATCTAAACTCTAGACAACTGTTTCTTTCAAATTTCCTCTTATTCTCTTGCATAGGTATGTATAATTTACAAAAGATGAAGCTGGTAATTTCTTTGAGAAATGAAATGAGTTTACAAACCATACAAGCCTAAGAGGACTTTTGAAATCTGAATTTTGAACTCTGGCACTCTCTCATTGGCCCACAGATTACACTGTAATGAGATTGGCCATCATCGGATTTCCAATCCCCATTCTGCAGCAGAATTTAATTATTTTAATAGATATTAATTATATGTACTTAAATTTTAGTGGCAGTTCATCAGCTGACAGGCCACAAAGTAGCTGTGAAAATCCTGAACAGACAGAAGATCAAGAATCTTGATGTGGTTGGCAAAATAAGAAGGGAGATTCAAAACTTAAAACTCTTTAGACATCCTCATATCATTAAACTGTAAGTCAATTTTAGTATTGATAAAATAGAGATAGAAGGACAAAGAAAACAATTTTGAAAAACAAAACAAAATTCACAACAAGATTTCTTTAAAGGAGAATTCAACAGAAGTGTTTTTCACTTGGCTTATGGTCTGGTGTACTTGTCTGGTCAGCATCCACTCAAGTCGCTGACAGTGCAACTCACCAATGCCAACTCACCGACATATAAAATCGAGTGGAGACATCGGCAAATAAAGCTAGGTAAATATTGCTAACGACTATAAAAGCTTCAGACACGAACAAGTTATTGTGTGACAACAACACTGTAAAGACTCATCATGTCAATCGGTCAGATTTTTGAAGAATAAAATAAAGCTAGGTAAACATTGCTAACGACTATAAAAGCTTCAGACACGAATAAGTTATTGTGTGACAACAACACTGTTAAGACTCATCATGTCAATCGGTCAGATTTTTGAAGAAAAGTTGGCTTTCTAGACAAGATCTTAAGTAAAAAACAATTCTTTTTTGGTCATTCGCGATGTTCACCTTGCTTTATTCGCCTTGAGATCCTTATCAACTTTGTTGGAAGAAAAAGAATTGATATTTACTAAAGATCTTGTTTAGAAAGCTAAGTTTTTTTTTAAAAGTCTGACCGATTGATGAGTCTTTACAGTGTTGTTGTCACACAATAATCCATTTGTGTCTAAAGCTTTTTTGGTCATTGGCGATGTTTGCCTTGCTTTAATTGCCTTGAGATCCTTATAAGCAAGATCTTGTCTAGAAAGCCAAGTTTTCTGAAAAAAATATGACTGATTGACATGATGAGTCTTAACAGTGTTGTTGTCACACAATAACTTGTTCACGTCTGAAGCTTTTATAGTCATTGGCAGTGTTTACCTTACTTTGTTCACCATGAGATCCTTATAAATTTTGTTGGAAGAAAAAAAATTGTTTTTTCACTAAAGATCTTTTACTTTTCCATATGTTTAACTTCTAATATATTGTATTGGATTGAAGACTAACTCGCTGATGTCTGTACTCAATTTTATATGTTGGCAAGTTGGCATTGACGAGTTGAACCGTCAGTGACTTGACCATAATTTGTCTGGTCAGCAGACATTCTTATGTGGAATGGCAAAAGTGTGCTATAGCTGGATGTTTGACTCACTAAATAGATTTATTAATAGCACTTTTTCCAGCAGTCTGAGAAGTTTTTCAGCAGTAAGTTTCAAGCTTTTCGCCATGCATTCCATTCTCTAGTCTCCTTATGTTCATCCTATCTCTGTTGATTGTTGGCTGCTGAATAAGGACTCATAGCTGGAGTGTTCATGAGAGAAATGTTCTTGTTTAAAAATTTTCAAACTAGTTTGATTTCTGCTAATTATAATAATGATTTCAAGAAAAAGAAGGAAAAATCTGGCAGTGACTAGTTTCCAAAACCAAAACCAGAAAATTGTTTGAAGCATTTTTTACTGTTATAACATAGCCACTAAGGGTTTTTTGTAACTTAACAATATAATATTTTCTCTAGATATCAAGTTATCAGTACTCCATCTGATATATTTATGGTAATGGAATATGTGTCTGGAGGAGAACTGTTTGACTACATCCTTAAACATGGAAAGGTAGTTTACTGTTTATAGATTTGTTTATACATCTGTCACAAACTGAACTGCACAGCTAAAAATGTTACAGCGTATTTCTGTTTACAGGATCTGGGTCAGGATCTGGAAACCTTACCAGCAACCCCATATCGAAATTACTCAAAGTACCTCTTCCCCTTTCTTTCCTTGAGACTGGCTGTACTTGTTTTAATTACCTCTTTGACCCTAAAGAGTTAGTAGCATCCTCTTTCTCCTCATAATTTCACCCCTAAATCAGAAATAAAAGGCATGAGAATATTTGAAAGATCACTGACTAATGAAGCTCTAATTGCTAATTAAATTCTCCCTGTTAGCACCCTAAGAAATGTGTAAAGAGCAATTTGGAGAATATGTGCACTGATGTCTGGGTGTGAAGGGTTGCTTGTTCTGGCATGTTACAGTGTGCAATAGCCTTGACAGTGGGTAAAACCCAGACTTCCATTATTTTCGTATCATCTTAGTTCCAGATTTTTGTATAATGCACTTGACTCATCTTTGATTTTTGTTTGTTTGTTAATTGTAGCTTCAAGAAAAAGAGGCTCGCAGATTTTTCCAACAAATTATCTCAGGAGTGGATTACTGCCATAGACACATGGTAGTCCACAGGTAGAGTTATTTTTTTTATATATAGGTAGTGTGCATGTAGGTTTGAGAATATTGCCATACCTCTTCTAATTTATTATTATTTATCTTAATTACATGTACTTGCTTATAAACCAGGTGCTGTTATTGTGTAAACTGAGCTTCAAAAGTTCATTGATTTGGTGATTGTAAAATACCACTGGAATGCATTTTGCAAAAAGTGGAAAATTCGTCTGCTTTTCTACTAAAAACAAATTTCCTGAATACCCTCTACAAATTCTTGCCTCAACCATCTTAATCAATGAAACTTTTTAAAAAAGTTTTTGAGAATCAAGAATGAAGGAATTGTCTTTTTTCCCAAAGAATACTTTACATTAGTAATAGTCTTTTTTGTGATATAATCAAGGGACCTTAAACCTGAGAATCTCCTTCTGGATGCCCAAGCAAATGTAAAAATAGCAGACTTTGGATTATCCAACATGATGACAGATGGTGAATTCCTGCGAACAAGTTGTGGATCACCAAATTATGCAGCCCCTGAAGTTATATCTGGAAAGTAAGTTTGCATGCTGCAAGACTTTTTTGCAGTGTGAAATTATTGGGGGAAATTATGTAGCATTTGTTCTTGGTTAAAAGGGTTGGTAATTTACTCAGGCCTAAAAGGATACCCTCATTTTAAAATCTGGATTTGTGGAAAAGTACTCTGTAGTGGATTTATGCAAAGTTAGTGACTGAAACTTGTTCATTTAAATTTTTAGACTTTATGCAGGTCCAGAGGTGGATATATGGAGCTGTGGGGTGATTCTTTATGCCCTTTTATGTGGAAGTGTAAGTATTAATCATTTATTCCAAGGTTTTTGTTTATGTACATTTTTGATATTACTGTGCACAACTATGATCGTTTTATAGAAGTTACAATTTTTTCTTTGCGTAATATCAAGTCTGATACGTTTTTCAGCTTCCCTTTGATGATGAACATATACCAACCCTATTCAAGAAAATAAAAGGTTTGTTAACTTTAACCCTTTAACTCCCAGATCAAATTTGTAATTCTCCCCACTGTCAACCACACAATTCTTATAATGTTAGTTCAGAGAATTTAGTATTGGATCAGCTAACTATCCCCAAATTGATATTTTTCTCTATTCTCATCACTTATCTAGTTGATATTATATAAATATTGTGATGAGAAATTCTGTCTTGGTCATTCATGGGAGTTAAAGGGTTAAAATAAATGTTAGTTGTAGTTTCCAGTTGGCAACAGTCTTCATTTAAATGTACATTTATTCCTCCTGTATTTTTACTATGGTGTGAAGTGAGACACTCCCAGGGTAAATTTTCTTCTCCAAGAAAATAAAGCAATGACCCAGCCAGAACCCAAATCCAAACTCTTTGCTTTAAAAGTTGGCCTGTAGGCAGACATTGACTTAAAACTGTATTAAGTGCTCTAACCATTTCCTACATGTATTTTCTCTTTGTAGGAGGTGTATTTTATATACCATCGCATCTGTCATCAGAGACAAGCAGTCTGGTATCATCAATGTTACGCGTTGATCCCATGAAGAGAGCAACAATGCAGCAAATAAAGTAAGTGTACTGTTAACCTTTAAACTCCCAAGATCTGATTGTTAATTCTCCCCTCTAGCTGCTACACATTTCCTTGTAAATTGATTACGAGAATTTGGTGTTCAATCAAGGTGATATCTCGTACCTGATGAGTTTGAGTATTCTCGCTACCTGTTTGCTGGATATTGTATGGATATTATAGGGAGAAGTTACTTGTTAATCACTTCTGGGAGTAAAAGGGTTAAGGGAGTAGGCATAACGCAGCGGTAAGAGTGTTTGCCTCCCACCACTGTGGCCCAGGTTCAATTCCCAGACTTGGTGTCATGTGTGGGTTGAGTTTTTTTGGTGGTTCTTGACCATGCTCTGAGGGGTTTGCTCCTGGTCCTCCCATCTTCCTCCTTCCGCAAAACAGCATTCTAAATTCCAAGCTGAAATTCCAACCTAAATTTTGAACTAAAAACAGTGGATGACAGTGCTTATATGAAATATTATTTGACATGAAAATTTCAATTTTGTGATTCCTACCCATGTGTTTTGTTCATTTTTAGGAATCATGACTGGTTCAAGAAGGATCTACCAGTTTATCTCTTCCCATCATCTTGCTTAGAAAGTGATATGGTAGACCAGGAGTGCTTAGCATTAGTGTGTGAGGTCAGTAACTTTCCATGGAATATTTCCTTTTACACCTGGCATAGCAATGCCATTTGATTAGAGGTGTAAACCTTGCTTAAGAACACAACACAGTGACAAGCTAACCTACATCTATAGAAATAGAACTATAATATTCTCTTATTTATTTGATCACAGTAATGTGTACATTGTATCCACTCAATGGATCTCTTTCTTGCACATAGCATAGTATGTTTTTTTGAAAACTTAACTTGATGGAAAGGATTATCTGCTCTTTGAACAACTGGATCCCAATGTACAAATTGATGCTCTATTTAAATCACTTCATGTCAGAGACTTTTGAACTTCGCGTTAAATTGAACACTACAGAAGTGAAATGTTGAGTGCTTTGGTTCAGTGACAAAATTTAGGGAAATATTTTCTTGAATTGTTTTTGCAGAAACTAAACTGCAGTGAAAGTGATGTGCGATGGGCAATAAAAAATGGAGATCCTCATGACCAACTGAAGATTGCTTATCATCTGATACTTGACAACAAGAGAATGAAAATGTTGGGTAAGTGAACACAACAGAAATTTTGATGGTTTGGTGACATTTGAAGGAAGATTTATTCATAAACCTACTGGTAAGCTAGGTTTTGTATGTCACTCTTCAGGATGGCTGTATTTTGAGGAACTATTTGATGAACATGAAACAGTTGGTTTAGGAAAAATATCAAGCTTGTGCCATGGCAGTTTGTCATTAAAAGGAAAATTAGGTTGCAACCCTATGATGGTGATGCTCTTTGAGAGGACACTATCAGAATTAAGTAACAATCTTGGGATTTTGATACATATAATTGCCATTTTACTAGGATCTCAGCTTTCTGGGGGGTTGGTGCATGTAACTTTTGCTTGGGATAATTAAGGTCAGATTGAAGTACTGACTTGGAATTCTGGAGGGAATCACAGACTCTATGTTTTGAAAAATCTTACGAGGACTCCCTTTATAACTCTGTTATCATATTTTATCCTCAAAACAGTGCAGTTTTATGTCTAGGTAATCATCTGAAGTACATGTTATTTTTAACTTATTGTATGCCTTATTTTTGCATGGTACTTGTCTAATCTTTTTTGGAGATAGTGGAAAGAAGGCTATTACTTGTTATGAAATAACAAAGTCATTGATTGACTTTTGATTGTCTTTGCAGCAGCTCAGGGAGAGAGCAATGTGAAGGACTTCTACTCTTCTGTTTCACCTCCTATCTCCTCCTTTCTTATTAAAGAACCAGCATCACCTGTGGTAAGTTTTGTAGCAATGCTGTGATGTATGTTGCCCAGATCTTCAAAGAGGGAGGGGATCTTATCCCAGGGGACAATTTTTGCAGAGAGCTTTGTTGATGCATACATAGTTGTAGACCACAACAGGTTAATCCAGGTCAGCTGATGATTGTGTACAACTTTCAAATTACAGACATTTCCACCATTTTGTGTCGTCTTGAATTGATCTATGCCCATGGTAAAAATGAATGAAGAAAAGTTAAATTATCAGTACATTGGGGTAAAAAGAAATTGTAAAACTCATACATAGTAGAAAAAACTGTGACAAACAAACACAGCAATCACAGTCTCCGAAACGAAACCACTTTTAACACAAAAACCACATGCTATCAAGCCATGTGACCCAATAAATATCACTTTGTTCATTCAGCCACTAGTCAGCCCCAACAGGAGAGAATGGAATGTCTTGGAAATCTTTCCTTGTTTGTGTTTTATTTCTTGTCAAATGTACAGTCTGGAACAATCCTTTTGGTAAAATTCATAGCAGTCTCTGCTTAGATTTTAGAATTCACAAATTGAGTTATGATATGTTCAGTCCCCTTGCAAGTTAAGAAATTAATAGAGGGCAAACTTCTGAGGCATAAAATTGTTCTCTGAACATTACACGGGCTGTAGGAGGGGCAGTCATGAATTATAAAATTTTTCCAATCCTTGTAACTAAAGCACTAGAAGGTTCAGCTCTTACATGTTCCCTTTTTCAGCAAAAGGCTGTGTCTTCAAATGAAAGTTTTCCAAATACAGCCATGACTAAAGCAAGATCCAGTAAGTCTAGATTTTTCTTGTGGCTCTTACATGGCATTCAATTAGAAAGAACTCTAATGGCTTACAAGCTTTTGCTGTTGTTTTCTGTAATATTTTATATTTTTTCCTATAAACTGTTTTTCTTACTGTGGAGAACCTTACTTGTCTCTTCGTCACTAACTGCTTCTGACAATAAACAAGGAATCAAGAAATTTATTTGATCCCAAATTTCGTTAACAGTGGTCTGTATTGATTGCAGGTCTTTAAGCTGATTGCAGAATACTCTTATCTTGAATCAGTGCCAGAGTGACAGTATTTCTGTAACTGTTCTCCTCTGCCATTTACCTGTGCATGTATATTATAGAACAATATTGAGCTTAAGTTACTTTCCTACTTTCTTTTCAGATTCTAACCCAACAACACCCTCCAAAAAAATACCATACCTGAGGCTAGCACTTGGAAAGCGACCTAAATGGCATTTGGGTAGGTTTATACTTGAAGGATGAGCACCCTGGTATACATGTGGTTCCTTGTTGACACAGGAACCTAATAAACCTTCTTTCTGTCTAAATCGCAACTTTAAATGCTATCAGAGATATTTACAGGGTCATTTACAGGACTGTACTTAAAACTGATCAATCAAATACGGACCTAAAAATTTATCTTCGTGACGGCTATAAGGATGCTTTGAACACTTGGACTGTGCAGTTTATGACGACACTCGTAGGCAAGCCTTGTTCTGCGTCTCTGAGCACATTATCCCTTTAGATTATTCTCTTATAAAGTCCTGCTTTTGTAGCTTGTCTCGAGGAAAAGCCAACTATACAATCATGTAATTGCGATTTTCCAACTGTGATTTCGTTGAGAGTTAGAAAAACGATTTTGCAGTCCACTGAACATATGGAAAGGTTTAGGAATACCACGCAACTCTCTAATTGTGTTTAAAAATGCTTTGAGGGAGAAGAATTAGGTATTTAAATAACTGTTTTTTTTTCTTCCACGTGCAGGCATTCGATCACAGAGCAAGCCAAATGATATTATGGGTGAAGTTTACCGCGCAATGATGTCTTTAGGTTATGTAAGTATTATATTCACTCCGCAAGTGTTGCCAATCAGTTCACAAAAATATGTTGAACTTCCTCGATTTTGCAAGTAGAAATAATTTGTCTTCAAGGTGAAGGGAAACTGACATCTGTCGAGAGGAATTCTATGACACATTGCCTTTGCTTAAAATTCTGCCTCGAAGGAATAGGACTCCTTAGTGAGCAGTACTTACGATTCATTGCTTTTCGGAGTGATAAATGCTTTTTATTTTGAATAAAAAATTTAGGCGTCTCTTTGCACAGCGAAGGCTTGTGTGGTATGAATTGCAATGCTTCCCTGCCTTAGGAAAAGTGCACAGAGGCTTATTGAAATGTCTCTGTTGAGAAGATAAACTGAATTTTTGTTGTTGTTTTTTTCTATTTCATGGATAACGTCTTATCTCTGTTGCGGTCTTAGGAATGGAAAATAATAAACCCCTTTAATTTGAGAGTGCTTAGAAGAAACAGGATAACTGGAAAATTTGTAAGTAACTACAATTTCACTTGAACTTCTTAGAGTAAGTTTGCTGTGACTTGTTTGATTTCTTTGGTATTAACATTTTTGTTTTTCCTTTGGAAAAAAATTACCAAATCAATTTAGCATACAGGATATAAACCACTTAAGAGTTTGATATCCATTTTCTCTTAATCTAGACCAAGATCGCCGTTCAGTTGTACCAGGTCGATCATAAAAGTTACCTCCTGGACTTCAAAAGTCTTCCCACCCCGGAAATCCCTCCAGAACACACGGAAGGAACTCTATCGGGAAAGTCATCCAGAAAATCGTCTGCAAACTCGTCGTTCAACAGTCTGAAAGACTCTGATAGTTTCACGAGCCCCACTGGCTCACATCACACGATGGAATTCATGGAAATGTGTGCAAGTCTCATCATCGCTTTGGCCTGCTAACGAAGTTACAAATTGTTGAAAGGTGGAGCATTGTGGGTAAAGTGATGAGGTGATCGCAAAGTTTCGGAACTTCGATCGAATAAGAAGACTTTCTTGAATTCGGAGGTTTCATTTCTCGTCTCCGGCTCGACTTCCAAGTGCGTTAAGTTTGTAGGACTTTGTGTTTGTCGCATGAGCCAGCCGAGTCCAGTACAGTTCTGACTGGCTTGTTTTCCCGTGCGAAAAGTGGAATGTCAATCAATCAAAAGTGGCAGATCTGACCAACTTCGTGATCAGATCTGACACTTTCGTGCTTAGTCTTGACGTGAAAAGAAGGTACCATACAAATGAAAATCGCCCTAAATGCATACAGGTTTTCATTGACACAAGATTAAATTGGAAAAAGACGTTAAGAAATATTAGTTCTCGGTTGGAATATTTATAAGGACCTTTACCTTGTTGAGACATATGAACTGTATTGATAAATGTTCAGTATTGGGTATTTTTTTAAAAAATAGATAAAAAAAGAAAAAGAGGGACATTATTGGCGGTGTACTGGCTACTATCAAGACAAATAACAGAATGCTACTTACTTGCTTGAAAACTTCTACATGGATCAAACGTTATTGTTTATCCATTCTGATAGCGAAGACTTTGGTTTGAACTCTCTTTGGGAAGGTGCATTGTGCTCCTTTGGTATAAATGTTTTTTCGCTTGTTCAAAATGATTGGACATAAGGCAATGAAAATAAAATTCATTGGCCTTGGGGCACTAACCTTACAGAAGCTTTGGTAGAGTAGTGAGATTGTCGAAGTAAATCTTCAAAGTACATTGATATTTCTGAATTCCACATCATGTCATCGTCGTTATTTGTAACATTTATTTCCGGCAGTGAAAATATCATTATTTTCAGTTTCTTTTTTAAAAAAGAAAAAAAAATTGTTAACAGGAGTTTTGGGAAAAAAAATGAAGGAAAAAAGTAAGGAAATATGACTTTTATTTTCGTTGTGAACATTTAGTGCTTTTTGCTCTTATTGTAGATACATATAGTTGTTATCAATTCATAACCATGCGAGATTTAATGTATGAGAGATTCCAACTTACGGACCAAAATTAAAAAAAAAAACGTTTCATTAACTAGTTGAGATGCCCTTGCAGTAAGTGGACTGATGATGTGGGATAATATTTACTTTGTAACCGAGGTAACAGTGACAGGCGAACATATATGGGAAATCCTATTAACTGGTTGACTAAGTTTACGAGTCAAAAACTAGCTGTCGGAGCAAGTTGGAATTGAGTGTCATTTAATTTTCGTTGCCCCTTAATTGATGCAGAAAACCATTGGTACTTTCTCAGCCAATGAAGCTCGCGCTTTCTTGGTCTTGAACAAGTTTGCACGGGTTTACTTTGGGTTCTCAGTGTCTCCTTGTGGTGTATTTTTTTCGGTGTCGTAATTGGCATTTTGTTTACTTTGGTCTTAATTTATCAACACTCAATTGAAATTCGCTCATATATGGCTTCTTATAATTGACACAAAAAACTGGGTCATTTCATTTTGTAAACACGTTTCGGTGATTACTGAGTATTGGTAATCAAATTTGCAAGTGGCGTTGTCGTAAATTATTTCGTAATTTGTCCTACTTAGTAAGGGCTGGTCCAAGCTTACTGAGTTAAAGGAGGTAGAGAAATATTATAAAGCGTTTTAATGTTATTTAAGATATGTAAGTTTTGAATCGTCTCGATACCTTGGGCCGAGGCGAGTTAATTTGTTTCGCGAGGTGAATTACCCGGAAATATTATTTGAAGAAAGAGACGGGTTTGAATAAAACTGTAATAGATAATTTGTGTCTAGCGGGCTATTCATTTGCTGAAGTGTAGATGCCATCGTTGTTACAAAGGATGACTGGATGTAATAACGGATTCTGAGAAGGGATTTGGGGGGGCTAGGAAGGAGCGAGAATGGTAAAGCATTTCGAAGACTGGAACAGATTCAAACCAATAGAATTGAAAATTTCAGGCAAATTTGTTCAAGGTCGTTACTTAGCTCTCGTAAATTAATTTCAGCTCTTGAACTTAATTCGTGTTATTGATTCCTGCGCTGAATATAAAATCTATGAAGGACTGGGAATTTTTTTTTTTTTTACATCTTAATGTTGAAACCTTGCATGATCAACTGAAACAATAGATAACTTACCCCTATCCCGAGAAGAACTTATTGGCGGTGCCACCCGCGTCGAAATTTCCCGCCTAAATTCTCAAGGACTGAGCTATCAGTCGCTTGAGAGTCGCATCTTTTTCCGACCTCTTAGCAGTATTGCACACATTTAAATTGAGGCTTGTGTATTAGCGGAAAAAGAGTGTGTATATCAATTCATGAATTCAAGACTTATCGATATATTACTGAAGCTTCTTTCATAGTTGTTTTCATCTCCGTTTTCGCTAACGTTGTTCAGGTTAGAATCCAAATTTCGGCTGTCGAAAACCGTATTTAAGTCTTGCAGGTTTTTTCATACGCTTTGTGAGAGAATATGTTTGCTTTGTTGTTCAAAGCTTTGTAAATATATTTTTCATCGTCTTAGAAGCCTTGTAATACTTCTCCTTCTCCCCTTTATTTTTCAACCGAAGATGTCTTCTATGGTGTAACTGATTAAAGCTGCAATCGGAGAAGAAGTATGGCCACCAGCGGGAACTCTATTAGAACAGCCGTTGATTTAGACAACTTAATTAAAGAATATACGTATTTTGAAAAGGTAAGTGATATATAACATGATAATTCCTTTTGAAGATATACAGCATTGTTAGAAGAAACAAGTTTCATCTTAAATTCATCACCATGCAATGGGATGATACTCATTTTGTTGTGAAAGAGAAATAGAGCTCAAGAGAAGCGTGGAGGGGAGGGTGGTGGAGCGGCAAGTGAATGCACGTGCACCTAAGGACCATCTCCTCCTAGCTGCGTCTCAGTTTGGCAAGAAATTCGCCACTTATGTTTTTTTTTTGTAGGTAATGAGACACACTGCACAGGAAAACAGCTGCCTAGAGAAGGAAGTACGATCCCTTAATAAGCAGCTTCAGTCCAGCCAGGAGGCTGAAAAGTTGTCCATAGAAGGTTGGTGTTTAGGGAAGCCTTCTTGTGTGATTGATCTCCTTGCTTATTTCTAACAAACTGTAAAAAGAGTGGGCGACTGCGGATTGAGAATTTGCTAGGTGGTAGTCTGGAGGACCGAAGACCAGCTTACTTTGGGCGCGCGAAAGATTAGTCTGACATGGCTTTTTCAGAGACTGTTATGGAAAATGTTTTAAGAATAAAGTCACGTCACGTTTCGTGCATGGAAAGATATTTAACGAAATTGTTTCCATCCTTAAACTTCCTTGTGACCAATCGGTTTGTCTCTGCGTTTTCATATTCGTTTTCCTAGGCAAGTTATTGTTTTAGGGCTTTTATTCAGCTGACTACAATCTCAGCGGGTTGACCCACATCTTATATTTCAATACTTGTCTATCAGCCCTTCATAATCTGAACAGAAAATTGTATACCAGATACTCACGAGAACCGGCTCTTACTCTTCTCGTTGTTTTATATCACAGAAGCTGGAAAGTTCAAGGCTATGGTAGACAATCTTCAGAGGATCCTTTTACAAAGATGTGACAAAGAAGGTAACTATTAGCATCCTCAAGGTTTCAAAAGATGATCCCTTTTAGCGTTGGCTTTTTACCGATTAGTTTTGGGTTCTTTGTAGGGTTTTTTTTTAATCTTTTTTTTGTGTTGTTTCCGCTTTGTGTGTGCATTTTTGCTCTTGAAGTGTTTGAGTAGCTTGTAGCTTAGAGCTTTTGCTAACACAAGGCTTTAACTAATACCCCAGAACAGAAATTAAAATAGCGGTAAATTTAAACCTCGAAGCCTTGGTTGTCACTATTCCACTAGTTTTCTGGTAACTGGTAGGTAGTTAACAGAACTCATTGCTGCTAATTTGAGTATATATTTCTTCAGAGGAGAACGCGGAACTAAAGTCACACTTGACTGCAGTTACAGAAAAAACAGCCCGTCTTGAACAGGTTAGCATCAGTGACCTTTCATCACCACTTTTCCAAAGAGTTCAAGAGAGTCTTGACTTTAAAGCATGATTTCAAGTAAAAATACGACCCATTAATCAATCAGCAGCATGCGGTCCAATTCTGTCGGACCGTCCGTTGATCAGAAGGTCTTAGAACAAAATGGTCTAGTGATCTTTTATGACTCCTCAGGAACACAAAACTGAACTTTCTGAAGCACTTAAGAATCATAAGCAAGAGATTCAGAGGGTTAGACAAGAGGAACTTCAACAAAGTAAGCCAAGGAGCTCATATTTTTAGTCTCGTGATCTGACAGGCTAGGAACCTTTTAGGCTCGATAAATATTTTGACGCCACAGCTTGACAAGAAGCGTTTCAGTTTGTTTTTCATTTAGATTTTACGGAATAAAGGAGACAACAATTTGAGGAATTGCATTTTTGGAATGAACAGTATAAAAAGATTTACAGAGTTGCATGGTTTGATTTTATTTATGTTTAGGTTTATGAACTCAGTTCTGGTTTTGTGTTGAAGTTGATGCTCAATTTGTTTCTTATCACTTTTGTTACGTTAAGTACGGGAAAATACGAGATAAGAGCGAGTTTTGGTTGCTGTAGTATTGAAGAAATGGTTTTATCAAGAAGAACATGAGAAGCAAGCAAAGCCACTGGTCTTCACCCTTTCTACTCATGACTGTTTGCTTGAAAAGCTCTCTTACTCAGTGCTACATTTGACCTGACCAAATTTGAATACGTTCCTTGACATCAGATAGGAAGGTAATCACAACACTGGAGAAGTCCCTACAAGGAAAGGAAAGTCAAATACAGCAACTCGAGAAGCAGCTGGCTGATATGAGTCACTTGCACCAAACAGAAATAGTCAAGCTTCGCTTAGAGGTGGGACGGTCAAACATATGTGCAAAAAGGGGGGTGCTGAAAGGAGGTTTTCACTGGATAATTCTTTTTTCGCTTTTTCTTGACAAAGAAGGAGTAACTTCCATCTTGCGAGCGCACTTCCGTTGCAATGCCACCGATGAAAGGCGGTTACTTTCTCTGTATTATTCATGTACAATGTCATTTTTATAAATATTTTAGGCCTATAGCTGTGTCAAGAAGCTTGTTCCATTCAGTATTCTGTATTTACCTTGGCAGTTTGACGAAAAAATATTAAAACTGCAACGTGAAAGAAATAATGCCAAAGCTCAGGCTGGCCAATCGTTTAATGCCAACACCGACATTTTCCGAAAGGTTAGTAACAGGTAGAAACCACAGAATGCTTTTATTTATCAAAAATTGGATAAAAGGTCAGAATATTTAGAACACATGAATGATGAAGATAATTCGACTCTCAGGGGGACCTAGACTAATTCCTTCTGCCTACGCTGATGATGAAACAAATAAAATGGTTCTTTTTTTTCTACGACTTAGAGAAAAATTAACAAACTTTCCTATCTATATTTGAGATCGTATCTTCTTTTCGATGGTTTGTGAAAAGGACCACGTTTGAATAATTTGACGTATTCTTATAAATAAATAATTTTCATGGTCTCAAAATTTTGTGTTTCATTCTTTAATATTTTTCAGGCGCTTAGAGTAATTAGAAACTTATAAAGTCTTTTTCAAGTTAAGGAACATTTGAGCATCCGAGATAGTACTTTATAAGTAGCCTCTTGAAGATAGCTGATACGCGTACATATGCGGTAGCGTGACTACACATGCATGTCCAAGGCGAATAACAAGTAGAGAAATTGTGGTTTACTTAGGCTCTGTTCCGAGCTTTGTAGAGCGATAAGGCGTCTGACTGAGGAGAAATTTGGCGAGGGGAATACAGGAACTAGGCAATCATCTCCCTGTTCTCTCGCTTGTAAACCTTGAACTTGAGTCTATTCACCGTCAGTAACTATATTAAACAAATGTTCCTTTCTTTGTTTTAGAAACTTCAGTTTGCCAAAGCCGAGGCACAAAAAGAAATAAACTCCTTGAAAAGTCAAGTCGCCGAGCTGGAAAGAAAGTTAACGATGCGCCAGATGCCAGCCTCTAAGAGAAAATTGTTCTGATATATGGAGCATACGCCGGTGATATCTGCAACCGTTCCGATCATCGACTAGGTTATTTTGATAACTGTTTCGATTTGATCTTTGATTGTTCGAAATTCCAATACCTTACGTGAGTTTAACATGCTATCGACAATTTCTCTGTTATTCTGATAGTTCGTGAGTTGCATTATTTTTCGTTACAGTTTAACAGAGCTTGTTTCGTTACATTCTATGTTATAATCGTTATGAACAGCTCTATTAGTTGGTATCAGTGTGGTTCGATTGGGTGTGCTTGTGGGTGTAGAAAACGGTATGTTGTGTTCACAGAATGGAACTCTGTTATGATTTGGTACCTTGTATAAACAAGGGTTTATGCCTTTGTCGTTTCTTTAAAAGCTGGGTGAAAGTCTTGAGACTTTGTCTCGGATTTATCCTCTTGGATTATTTTAAACTCCACAAATATTTCGAAAGATTATCATTACTTTGTACACTACTACTAACCAAAATTATGTTACTTTGATTCATGAATCAAATATTTCAGCGGTAATGATGCTTGCAGCACAAGGCACTCGAGACGATGGAGATTCTAGAGTCAGCAATTCAACATTACCTAAAAAAAAAATCATTCTAAAATGAAGAGTCTTGTTGATCATTTTTCCTCGAAATTTAACAGCAGATAAAGTTCTTTGTTTTTTAACAAAATTTAACAAAATACGAAATAAATGTAATCCATGAAGTGGAAAAAAAAATAAAAATCAGTAGGTTTCCAATTGTAAGGAACTGTTTTTATTTAGTCTTGAGTGAGTTTGAACTGCTCCAATAATTCAAGTTCCAGTTACTCTTTTCCAATTGTTTTTACAACCTACTTCCACCACGTCATCAGCAGCTTGCGCTCCGCTTTTTGATATTTCCTGTGTTGAGGCTGAACTACTTCATCAGTAAGCTCTTGCTTGTGTGCCTGCCTTTGCTTCTCATTTAGCAAAACCTTGAACTGCGGCTTTCGCACCAGAATTCAACCCTACCTTTTCAGGAAAAGTTATCGCTTGCCTGCCACGAGGGGATCCCCACGGAGGAAAAAGTGTCATGTCAGCATTGGCTTCGGGTCGTTATTTCAATTTTTTTTCCTTCCGTTTAGCCCCTCGCTCCACAGGGACGTCCATGTTATTTCAAACTTTTAAGTTTGATTAATAAATAATGACATGCAGGTGAGTGTCCATCTGATACAAGAGAAGGAAGAAAAAAAATTGAAATAATGACCCGAAGCCAATGCTGACATTACGAGGATAGTAAGTGGTCTGGTCTAAATCAATTCAAGTTGTGGACTGATCATAAGCCTCAGTCACTAATGGGACTCTTAGGCAAGTTTTTCTAAAATCCCAGGAAAAATTGCAGGAGAACCGTAGTATTGCACTACGAAAGAACAAAGAAAACATTTGAGACAAGCTGATTAATCAATTCAGGTGAGTATCCATGTAGGGGCCAGCTACGCTTGGCAAAATAAATACGACACAACAACGTCTATGCGTCCAGATTCCTTGTATTCTCGTATAGGATAATAACATCGAATGACAAATGAGGATCTGTCAGGCGGCGATTCGAAGTTATTGCTACTTACACAGCCTAAAATCCTTCGCTAGGTCTACCTCGGTAAAAACGGCAAAAAAAGCTGAAAATAACGGTCAAGCAACGTACATGGCGTGAGAAACTGCACTAGGTACATTGTCAGCGGCGCTATAAGCTGTATGTAAACGTAATGAATCATACGGTACATCTGAAACAAGAGATAGTACAAGAGATGCGATTGGTTCCCTTGCGAAAGGGTCACATGTATATTATGATTCAGTGACAAACTAATCTGAGAATTTCTTCCAGCGAAACTGAGGTGGGAAGGTCACAATTCATCTAGAGGTTTGTCAAATGTTTTTTTCCCTTACTGCAGTAAGTATTTCAAGTACAGTATTTCAAGTTTAATCTATTCGTTACGTTACTCGCTGTAATCGGCTGACAAAAATAGTGGTTAACGGACTAAGGATAAGGACTTTCCATATCGAGTTTTTTCTGCGTAAGTCATGATTCTGTAAGGATCAAACGACCATCTTGTGCTTTTTGGCTACAGAAAAAGACAAGTTGCCGAGTCTTGTCGAAAGTGAAGATGTAGCGAATGTAATTCAAATTTTTTGGCGAAATTGAATCACATTATTCAAGATGTTTTCGCGGCAACATAGCGCCACAGCGAACTTGTGAATTAAAAATTTATCATTAATGGGAAAATGAAAAAACCAGCGAAAATGAAAAGACCTACGGTTTAAAAAATGCGCATTTTCGTTCTTAAAAGCAAGTAGTAGAACGCAGTTTCAAATAAAATGGACAAATAGGTCACCTTTCACGTCTTGTCACCAGTTAAACAAATAACAAGAATTCCAAGAAATACCGGAACCACATGTCTCTGTTAAGCTGCAGTTCTTGGAAATCGTCTACTACATTTGTTATTTTGTGTTACAGCCTTAAAAATAATTTTCTAATTTCTTACTTCGTCACCCAAGCGAGCATTTTGTTTCCTTATCACTGTAGAAATTACAGTACGACATAGCAGGGCGACATTTAACTCAGCTAAGCTGGTAAACATTACATCAAATCCTCCGCCAATTAACAAATAGAGAAGCCTTGACTGTGCTCTGTTCTGTTATTAAGCACGCAGGAAGTGGCTAGAGCACGAAAGAAGTGTAGGGAGAAACACGAGACGTGGTCGAGTGTTTCTCCCCACTTATATCTGTGTAACTTTATTTCTAAACGATGAAATGAAAATTTTGCAAAATTACCTCGGTAATAAACGAAGCATATCGAGCTTCTGGTGTCAGTGTGACGCATCTGTACTCCTGTGAACTGCACATGGATTTTGTGATCTATATGGGTGCGAATGATGCTTCGAAATTCATCATAACATAACACATGTGTCAGTACAGTTGATGTGACATTTACTCAGTTTGTTTTTCTTACAATATTACTCCGTCGATAACGTTTATGCTACCACCCATGAATGCTTATTATATAATTATAAAATATTCTTACAGATTCTCAACTTTTTTTTGATATATTTTTGTTGACTTGCGAAATTCTCGCTTTTTTATCATGCATGATTTCGGCAAGAGAACAGACAATATAAACGCACCGATGTTGTTTGCCACATTACGATAATTGCTTTTTCATTCATTACTTGTGCGTTGCTCTTTTGGTTTCTGGAGTGGCTTAACTTTATAACCTGAACAAGATTTGAACGGTCCAATTTGACTAACCGTAGTACTTGGCCGTAATCATTCGTTTTGCAGCGTTATTCAATTTTCAAGGAATTAGTGGTTTTTTCGAATTTTGCTGTAACAAGAACATTTGATTTGAGCAATACCAAATTTTTTCGTGCGAGAAACGTCATCTCTCGATGATCTTATGGTCGCGTCAAAGAAGACATTTTCCTCCCCATACAGAGATCAGCCAGGTACCTCTTCAAGCCGGCGGCGGCTTTTTTGTCGAAGAAGCCGAGTTGAGCTGAACCAAATGCTAAATTTTTCTGGCTCCCTGAGTCTCTTTCTTAATTACAAAGTACGGTCAATCGAAATTGTAAACATGTCTAATCTTGGTTGATTTTACTAATGTTGTGAATCACACCACATGTTTGGGATGAGTCATTGACAATAGGCTTACATGGGCAATGCATGTAGACCATGTGAAGAAATCTTTTTCACAGAAAGTGGGTGCATTAAAAAGAATGAAGAAGCTTCCTGTCAAAGTGCTGGAGGAAATTTATTTCAGATCCATCGTATCAGCTGTAACTTATGGTATGGTGGTGTGGAGAAACTGCAGTTACTATATTATGGACTCTTTAAACCCTGTTCAAGCGAGGGCCGCACGAGTTATCCACCAGGATTAAAATCTTGAAAAGCTAAATTGGTTGCCAATTTCTTAGATACATTAAAGACGACTCCTTCTCCTGATGCATGATATTTTAAATAAAGTCCTGTATCCCCCTTTTGATTTGAAGTTAGACAACAGACCATCACGTAGGGGAGGGTTACAGATTGAAATCCCTAGGGTGAAGTACTATGTGGGAAAGGAATCAGCACAATACAGAGGCCCTGTAATCTGGAATTTTATTACTAGGTTGGTAAATTTTAATGCCAACGTTCAAAAAGACAGTTTTAAAAAAATTTTACATAGGCCCTCGCAAAACATTAATAGCTTCTCATTCGAAGCACCTATGATAGCTATGAAAGACTGAGATTTTGTATATTTTTAAGTATGATTATACTGTACGCAAATTTCTAGATTAGTTTGTAACTTTTATTTGTCAATGAACCTTATTTTATTGAATTGTACTAAATTCAAATACCGTAGGCTGATTTTACAAATTATTTTGTTTATTACTTCACATTTTATTAGTTAGTTGTAGGTCCACATCAGCATCATGGCTGCCACTTTTGTAACCTGCATCACTAAATAAAATGATTGATTGATTGATTGATTGATTGATTGATGGTCGCGGCGAGCGTTATAGAGTATCGTAATACCTAAGACTTCAAAAAGGCGAATATTCAGTTATTTATTTCGGGGGTACACCTTGGAAAACTCATGAAAACATTATTAATAAAGCACCCACCCTTCGGTGTTTCGTAAGCCTCATTAGCGAAGGTTTAAATGTTTCCAGGATTTTATACAGTAATGGTGATTGTCATTGTGACCTCTGCTAGTTATGATTTAAAATATTCTATGGCGTCGAACCTTCAAGCTATTACCCGTTTTTAAATGTAAACACCTTGCAATATTATGAATAAACTTTAACCTCTATTCAGCGAGGAAATATATTCGGATATTTCTCTTTAGACATAACCTTTCCAATGACCGAACTGTCTTCGGGGAGAAGGCTTCGAGGGACAGAAAATGTCCAAAGACAGATATCCAAAAGTATTAAGGCCATTTATCAACTTTCATAAGCTAGAAAAGATGTCAATTCCATATGTACTCTCCTTGATCTCTTTACTCAGATAATATGATTATTATTCTCATTATATCACGGTCGCCTGATTCGTTTTAAATTTTATTGCAGGTCTAAACGTGCTGTCAAGAGGATCAGTGCCACTGACAAAAAATGGACAGAAATGAAGCCCCAGATTTCTCTGACATGGAAGAGGTAAATTAGAATGATTACAGAACAGTTTTCGACAGCGCCCCAAACAAAGACAAGGAGCCTTTTGATTTGTTTCGTTTTGAATTTTTTTTTTTTTTTTAATTTTTTTTGGGGAGAGGGGTCAATAAACTCTGACAATCGAGGAAAAATTTATTCTGCTCTGAAGGTCTTAAAAGAATTACGTTTCCAGGATCAAGGTACAAATTCAAAGAAAGGCGACTAAGAATGAAGGGGTTGGAGGAGGGGAGGGAAGGAGTATCTAGGGTTTTCCACTATTTGCATGGACAGAAGAGATTTGTCCAAGATTTGCCTTAAACTATGTCCATTCAGAAATGCACGCAAACGGTTTTCGATGTGACAAATTGACCACTTGGTCATCTATCATCTTTCCCTCGCTGTATATTTGTCTTGTATGGTATTTTTATCTGAATAATTATTTCAATGCTAAGATCATCTGTTAAATTGTAGAGAGAGCGCCTAAGAATGGACCGTGAGCTAGAGGAAATCATTGGCAAGACCAACCTTTTGCCCGAAGATGAAAAGCAAGATAGAAGAGATTTAAGAGAACTTCAAGAGAAAACAGAGAAGATGAATTCCCACGCAAAAGAGACCATTGAGAGCCTTCGTGCAGCGGCTAAGAAACTAGACGACGTATGGAAGGACTGCAAGATATCTCATGCTGTTGGAACCAGCGTTGGAATACTGGGTGGGCTTCTTACAATCGGTGGAGGAATTGCAACAGCACTGACAGCAGGGGCTGCTACTCCTTTGTTGATAGCAGGATTGTGTGTTGGAGGCGCTGGAGCTACTACAAACTTAGGGACTGCTATCGTCGAGGCGGTGATAAATTCTGCTGAAATCAAAGAGGCCGAGAAACACCTTGGTGAGACCATAGACAGTGCTAACGAGGTAGACAGGATTGTCCAGGAGGTTTTGATGATCAAGGAAACAGCGAGGCTTATTTATATTTATCACCTTGCCAAGACCCTGGAGTTGGGAAGTCCTGTGGTCTTGAAGATCCTTCGTGAGTTGGTGTTTTTCTCCGCAGGAACACCTACTAAAATGGTAATACAAGTAACAGAAAAAGTAATGGCCTGTGCACAGGCAGCGAGTCAGGCCAGTGTGAAAGCTGCAACCCAGGGTGGTGTTCAAGGAGCGGGAAAGGCAGCTGCACAATCTGTTGACGATGTGGTACGAGCAACGGGTCAGGCTGGAGCACAAGCTGCAGATGACGTGGTCCAAGCAGGGGCTAGGGCGGGCTCCGAGGCAGTCGGTGAAGTTGTGGGTAAAGTCATCATTGTAGTCAATGTTGCATTCGTGGTGTGGGATGCCATAGACCTTGGCTTCACTATCAGGGATCTCGTTGAAAACAAGGGATCTGAAGCTGCAAAAGTTCTGAGACAAAAGGCAGACAAACTCGAGAATGCCATGAAGGAGTAAACCTCAGCCAAAGGGAAGAGTTCGAAACGATTTTCAATGATAAACATAACATTGATCTACGTTGAGGTGAACATTTTTCACCATGCAGTTAGTTGCATTTGGCGATTTTTGATGAGGACGTTACCTCTTAGGACTGCATTAACGGTATATTGCAAATTTTCTTTTTGATGTGGCCTCTTTCGATTTTCAGAGAGATAAGAAAAGGATGTTTCAATTTAATGTATGCAGTAAAAAGGAGCGTAATAAAATACTTACATATTCTAAAGTAAGTTAATTCTGAGGTCTTTTGTGATAACGCCTCTGTATTAATTCAAAGGAATCCTTCATTAAATTCTCAAAGGAGACTCAAGAATTTTTTCTTTAATCAAATGAGCTCTCTCCTCTTTTCTGACTCGCGCTTATTTTTATGTTCAAAGAGCCTTTGAAGTTAAACTCTTATTGAAAAGTAAGCGCGAGTCAGGAAAGAGATGAGAGCTCGACAATCGACATTTAATGCTCGTCATAATACTACTTAATACTATAAACATTCAAGCTAACCGCCGTGTGCAAACTGTGCTGTTCGACATTGTGCTAAACCATTTCACACAACGCTTCACCGTATGTGTGTACATTGTACCATTTGACATTACGCTGAGCCATTTGACCCAACGCTATACTGTTTGTGTACTGTATTGCAAATGAGTAAATTCGCAGTTGAGCTAGTCCATTTCACAATTTCATGTTCCAACTCGACATAGGCAACTAGACCGTGTATCATTTGCCTAAACTATTCATGTTTAAGGTGTTCTGTTTCATGAAGAAAAACTAAACCGTCTACAGTTTGGCCATGCCAGTTCCTATATTAGCTATGCTATCCTGCTGCTGATCCCTAGACCAGCTTTGTATTTGCTGATCTATTTGACGTCCTTGTATTTTCGGTGGTGACGGCCGCCCATAGTATCCATCTGATACAAGAGACAGTACAAGAGATACGATTGGCTACCTTGTGAAAGGGTCACATGATCATATACAGATCGGACTGATCTGTGAATTTCTTCAAATACTTGACAGTAATACCCAGCGAA